CTAGCGTTGCCCCTTTTCCTACTTCTTAGTTTCCCTATAACAAGTTGCTTCGGTCCTACTGCAACTTTTGGGCAACATTGTCTACGTAGTGCTTTCTTGTCTTACTTCTTGGTTTGTTCTATTTCTTGCTATTTATCTATCAAGTGTTGTTTGCGTTATATTCAAATTGTTCAACTTATTCCAAAAAAGGATTGGTGTAAGTGAAGGACACAAAACTCGGTAGGCCAAACATTTAAAACTTCCAGACAAATGAGTGTCAGGTTGTCTTAAAAAATGGAAAAAGCAAATTTTTTAGAAAAGTATAACATTCTTTAGCCAACAAAGATTGTGTTAGAACATTACAGATTAGAAATCAGCCACTAAGAACTGTATTCGTAAGTGTCCAACGTGTTACACAATACATTAGAGCACCGTAAAGTTGCTGATTATTCTTCCACAAATCTAAAAGGCTTTATGAAAATTTGCAGTGTTATCCCTTGAAAATGCATCAATTAACAAAGTAGAAGCACACATATTGTACAAAAATTGAATGTTTAATGGTAAAAGTGTAGAACTTTGGGTTATATTATTTTATAAATAAATTATAATTTTTTGAAGTATTGTAAGATGATACAACGATGATAAGGCAAGTAACAATATATAACATCCACCACCAGTAGTTTTGGCATTTTAAATTATAAATGGTGGCCGCGCAAAAAAGTTGAAATTTCGTCGTTCTGACAGTGAGGCATTTAAATGTTGTGCGATTGACGGGCATTTATAAAAGAAGAAAAAGTAAAAAATAAAGAAAAATAAATGACACGTCTGTACATGTGATTAAAAAAATCTCCAAATATCACCATAAAACATTAAACTTTTTATTTTTAAGGTAACCTTTTTTAGCAGCCTGCAACTGCAACTTGGTCAATATGACAAAAAAAGAGGTGTTTTTGATTTAAATAGAATCTTATCACTTTTTTCAAGTAAAAAAAGCATACTTATTCAAATGTATATCCTCTTAAAAAATTTCATACTTTTTTTTCAGCATGTTAACGTAAGTCAACTGTTTGACAACAAAAGAATAAATTTAAAACGAGTTTTTGGCAAGAAACTCATCCTAACTGACAATACTTTATAATCTGTAAAAGATGAAGGTAATTTGGATTGAAATACATTAAATTACAGCTTTCTTAAAGGAACCGTTGTTTTTTTGGAAGCCATTTGTGCTAGAATCGCGTTCTATTGATGCTTTCGAGTTACATTTGTCACTTAGTATCCTGAAAAATAGCGTTAAAACAAAATGGCAGATTTTAAGAGCATGAGATTAATTTAGTCTAAAATAAAATTATTTTTTCAACACAGATTTTTATAAAGCGTTATAAGCTTGAGAGACATTTTTAGAAGGTGCGACTGCAACTTGGCGTTTTATTTTCTGCATGTTTTGCAGCATGGAAAGAGATGAAAGCAACGTGAAACCAATTTTTGAAAGGTTCAACTTTGCCGTCGTTGTGTAACAAATGTTGCGATGATCCTCCAAACGTTTATGCTGTTTTTGTACTTCTGTTTTCAATTTACTAAGGAAAGTTTTGAAATTTTACACTATTTATAAGGTATTTCAGAATCAGTTAGTTAGTTTGCCACGGTCTAAAGCAGAGAAGTTGTTACTTGGTTGTGAAAAAAAAAAAGAAAAAATATCTAAAGTGGAACAATTTGTTAGACAACTTATTCTTATTGAACTTTTTTTTACGTATCTGAGATAATGCCTTACACAATTCAGTGTAAATTATCGAGCTACCAACAAAAAGAATTCTAGTTAAAGGGATCCAGCTAGTGCAGTTTGTGTTGATTTACAGAACCGTTTAAGCAATATGCTGAATTATGTTTTAAATTTAGAAAAATTTGTCAACACCAAGAACTGACTGACCAATCGACTGTAAACGGAGCAGCATTTTGCGATTTTTCCAATTCATTACGATACTGAAGATGTCTGCAAATTTGCAAATTATGCTGTTCTGCGCTACCAGGACAAGCGCAAGATGCAGTTTTAGAACTGCGAGCTTCAAATACACCAGTTTCATTGTACCTGTAAACACAAAAAACTGCAAGTAGTTTACGTATTTACCTTGACATTAATTCCACATAGCATCAAAAATTTAAAACTAGATTTTAATAAAGTTATAAATTAAAGTAAACTTTTCAAACAAGTCGATAACTGAATATGATTATAACGTCTGATTATTACGTCTGATGCCATTTCCTAATTTTCAAGATTTTTTGTTCAAACAGTTTCAAAAATTTTTCTATTTTCAATAAATTAAACCAACAAAAATTCTTTTGCAGTTAAAAATTAGTTGCTTAACAAATAAGCAAAAGAAAAAGTTACATACAAAAAGAAGAATTTTTACCTGCGAATAACCTTACTGACGCAACTATGTGTTACTCTGAGCTCTTGAGCTATTCTAATTTTTTTGATACCTTTTACATACATTTCGATTATCCTCCAACGATCACAGGTCAAAAGTGGTCTTCCGGAGATGTACGGTCTGCCAAAACGATTTCTTGCAGACTCGCCCGCTAAACATTACGATTGTAATTTTTGACAAAACAAAGAATTTGGAAGTAAAAGAACGAAATGTAATTAGAAAACAGAAACGAAAAATTTACAATTTTAAAAAGAATTACCAGTCTCGTCATAGTTCTTAAGACTTTTATTTTTAAAATTCAGTATATCAGCGTACAAAAAACACGGTTCCAGTTTTGATCGATCAGAGAAACCAGACTTTTTCTCAAAATTCAAACTTCGATTGGATACACCTAAGGGTGGCATTGCCTAAAAATTGATAAATAATTGATAAAAACTTTTTTTGTTTATCAGAAAAGAAGACTTAAGTGTTCAAAAGTATTTGACTGGTAGCTTATCAAATATATGATTAAAAAATGTTGAAACTTTTTAACTTTGTGAAAAAATATCTCAATCAAGTTGCCAGACTTTTTTTCAGCATTAGCATTAGCTGATTAATAAAAAATCTAAATTCGCAA